TTCCACAATCACAGCTGCTGTATCATCAATCAGACACCTTTCATGCAAGCAATTGGGCAAGAGTTTGATGCGCTTGTGCAAAGTCCATCCAGCATGGGATAGCAGGCAGCAGGGAAAGGAACATGCGTTGGCGATGCGGTATCGAAGCACCCAAGGTGGAGGCATCAGTCTGTTTGATGAGATGAGCCAGGTAGGTAAACGACCTCAACCGCAGCCTGCATGGCTCAATGTCAGCCCCTGTATTCATCCAAGCACATCTCCTGCCTGAGCGACCTCAACATCTCCAGAGTATTGCTGGCTCGGTTTGTTCCATGCGCCGAGAAGTTCATACAGTCAAGACTTGACAGCAGCAGCACTGCAATCGTTGGAAAGACAAATTCACCCCAAGCAATGCACATACTCATATACTGCTCACATAATAGTGCACGCACACATATACACACAACAGAGACCGACTTGTTTGCAGTTGAGGCAGGGACATGTCTGGTTGGCTGGGAAACGAAAAGAGACTGTATAAAGATTTCCAAACATTGTAAAACGACGAAGAGTTATCAAAAACGATAAGGCTATAAGTGGTTATACAACATGTATTATTATATGGTTATATTTATTACTTATTTTTTTTAATATCAAGTAAGAACGAGTTTGCTGAAGAAGGTTTCTTGACACAGTCAACCAAGCTGTACCAACTGAAAATCGGCCCGTGTCTGCTCCTGACAAGGTCGTGGTTAGCACACCCCAGTTTGCTGAATCCGACCCTCACACCTCCAACTGCACGGATTTGTGCTCAATCTTCAACGAAGCATTTGAGGAGCAAGGGTTTGTGCTAGAGCATGAGGCCTCTTCAGAAATCAACACGTGCGTTCCTGCCAAGAACCGGTTAGACTAGACTAGACTGAAGTTGTATACTTGAATCATAGAAGTGATCCAACTCTTTCCAGATTCGCAGCGTGGTCAGTTTCATTGTTGCTTTGAATGTGCAGGTGTCCGGTGTGGCAGTTCAACCCTGGACAAATCGAAGGTGGTTGTTGGCAGGGACAGGCGTGCATCCTTCACGTGTCTTCTTGTTGATGTTGGTGCTGCCAGGGCCACCACTGCGAGACCCGCAACGGCTACGATGCGGTGCAGTTTTCGGGTGGGTAGGAGCCTCAATAGTTCTGTCGACGTTCTTGTTTGCGGTACCTTTCGATGCAGGCAGCGCATTCAACACGGTAGCGTTAGGGCTGCATGCTTAGTGAACCAATGGATGGATTTTGAGACAATCCTTATACCTTGTTGGCCGAGGTCATCAAACAAATGGCTGGCATCGAGGTACACAACCTCCGACCCATTGGAAAGCTGAGCAATGAAGGCCAAAGTGCCAACATCAAGCGATGCAGGCCAGATTGAGGTTAATTGAAGCGTTGATTCAAGTTTGGTACGGCTTTCAGGGAAGTTTGCTACTCCGACATTCTGTGCCAATACTGGCAGTGCCCCATGAAGCCGAGTTTTGCATGAAATGAGTCTGCAGGCATTGCAACTGCTTTTTGTGTTTGTTGTTTTGCTTGTTCCTGCTTTCATACAGTGGTCAGAGTGTCTCCAATTTGGACACATTGTAGCTCATGCACACAGTGTGTGCAGAAAGGTACAGCCAAGATGGCTGTCAAGTTGAAGACCCAACGTGCTCCCATCGATTGGACCGAGCCAAAGATTTATGACTTGTGAGTGCTGCAGATCTGACGAGTGCAGTTCGCACAGGTACAGCACGGTGCAATATCCCTTGACCCTTGAGGGCGGGGCTAGCACTACCAGCAGCTATGCTAGGAGTGTTGTGGCGGGTGAATTTATCCAGCATTATTGTGACACGGCAGCATTGGTAGTTCTTTGCTGCCAGATATAGACATCCTCTACACTGTCATCTTTGCAATGTAATACTTTAGGCGGAGGTCATTGTGGTATCTTCAGATTCTCCTGAGACTAAGAGATGTATTCGGGTCGCTTCGCGACAACAACTGCCCTCACCAGTGGCTCTCACAGAGAGGGAAAATTAAGTCTCTATAATCACTCTATTTTTGGACCCTCTTACTTGCAATTTGCAAGCATTGCTGGATCTACTTTTTGACACCCTTGAGGTTTGTACATTTTCAAGGGGGTCGACAAATAGAGTGATCATGCACAATAAACCAGTCCATACAATGTGCTTGATCGAGACAACACTTGGAGATGAGCGCAACATGAAGTGGATACAACTTGCTTAGCTGTGTCTGTGTCTTACTTGCAACTTGCAAGCATCGTTGTATATATTTTTCAACTCCCTTGAAGTTGTACATGTTTCAGCGGGTCCAAATTACATCCAACAATGCTAGCAAGTTACAGTTGCAGTTATAAGAGTTGGACCCCCCGAAAAATGTACACTTTCAAGGGGGTCGGAAAATAGAGCGATCGTGCACAATGAACTGTACAGTGTGCATGATCGAGGCAAGGCTTCAAGATGAACGCAGCATGAAGTGATGAATAAAATCCAAGAAGTTTCTATAACCGCTCCATATTGAATTTTGCACCCATGTTTGTCGACCCGAGTCGACCCTCTTGAAATTGTACATTTTTCAGGGTGTCCAAATTTCACTTCGCAGGCATTTTGTACAAGAAACTACGCACTTGCAACTAGTAGGTGCATATGTCGCCATAACAAACTATACAATTGCAGCCAGCTGATGCGCATGATGCAATCATGAACAGACTGCTGAGAGGTGTCGTTTGTTTCCTTTTCATGGATCTGCTGATGCAACTGATGTGATGATGAGAAATGCAGTCAGACATACCTGATGTATAAAAACAATATGTTTCTTCAATGTTTTCTTCCACTTGCAGTTAAACGCCTCAGCACCTTTGGTGCGGGCGGGCTTGAAAGGATTTCGAATTGGAATAATCGACCACACAGTCTTTGATCTGTGTGTGCTCAAGAAGGGAACTTCTTACAGCGTGATGGAGTCAACGTGCTAGATGAGCGTGCTAGATGTATGAATGAATGTGTAGAGCTGCTCAGCTGCTCGCGGATTGATCATGTTCTCCCACATGTTCTTGTGAACGCGCTCCTCCGCTGGTGTAAAAGGCTAGAGCGGCTAGAGGCCTTTTGTACCCAGGTAACCAGTGCGGCTGTGACCATAATATATATATATAGAATTCTGTATGTAATGGATGTGTAATAATATATTTGGAACACCGTTGCTCCAAAAAGTTATCATTCTCTCTCTCTCTCTCTCCCTCTCTCTCTCTCTCGCTATTATTTCTTAAACCCTCTGATTCGGACGATGCTTATCCGATTGAGGTCCACCAAGAAGCCAGCAACCCGATTTGGCAGCTCTTCGCCTGAGACTCATGGGCATCGTCGCAACCAATTATTGTTGCAGTCATTGGTAACAAACTCTCTTCTTTTGGCAAATTCAATTCTGCAATTTCCTTGGATTCCACAACCTTGAGCCCCTGACTGCACAGATCGCATCATTATAAGGCCAGGAGAAGCCTGATCCATTGGGGTCTTACGCAAATTGGAGGCAAGAGAGTACTTGTGTAGCGTTTGGTTGCTGCGCTTCACCCTACCCATGAGATTTGCTTGTAATGGATGTGTTGCCCTCTTGTGTTCAATGTTTGCCAGGATTGTGCCATATGGAATTCTGGTTTCCTTAGTCCTCCTCATGTTGATGTGCTTGGCTTTCTGCGTGCTGGATCAGAAGGAGAGAGAGGCAGAGAGAAAGAGTATAACGAACATGTGGTAGCTTGCCAAGTACGGATGCGGCTCTTGTGCTCGGTGCACGCTCCCGCTTTTTAATTTCCAGAACAATAAATAGGCATTATCCAAAGGCAATGAGTTTAAAGCTTAGATCAGCTTCGATTAGGGTGGAGCAGTTTCTCCCACATCGCACAGAGAATGTATTGACGATCAACACCTCCAAGCGGTTGCCTACAAGGAGAACACCCAAGCGCCAGACACGCATGCAGGCTCAGAATGTGAGTTTGCTTGCTTCAGAAAATGAGGTTTACTGATCCGAGCATTTCATACTGAGACAACAGTTCAATAGCAATGAGGTACCGAAAGGCTTAATTCGTTCGGTTGGAAATCTGGAGCTTCTGCTGCTCCATTTCAGCGTTTAGTGGGTTGTAAGGGACACATAATGTGAGTCTAGCATCATGGCACGGGGTGCGCTTGATTGGCTGCAGAAAGCGTGTTCGAGCTTGTCAGATGTGACAACTCCACCGCATGTGCACGCCCAGAGCAGTTCCAGGCACGGCTCACTTCAATCCAGTTCTTTGAGAGGCAAAGTGCACCGGACCAATACCCCACCTATTTCCGGTGCATCAGGCCAAGTGAGGTACCTCTTGCGCAGGCCCTTCGACGCGCGCCATAGATTTGTTTACAGCATCCTAAACTGTTTGATTTGTACCTTGCAAATCAGCAAGAATAGGTGAAGGCTTGCAGAAGTAAAGAGTCGAGGAGGTGTGTATATTATATGTATATATATATATAAGGTCTATATAACTATGACTATATACAGTATCTCATTCTGGTTGGCACAGTGAAGATTCTGGTGTTCTAATTTCCTTTTGATAACCTTGTCGTGTGGTTGCAAGGGCAAAGTCGAAGTCTGATTTGCATGTTTGGTCAGACCGTGTCTTGCTGGAGGCGCCCCTTCCTATGCAACTGGCTTCGCTGCCACAAAGGTTCTTTGCTTCACGGCCAGTGCCTGTTGGAGCTGTGCCAGTGCGCGGGCCACCGATGATGCCGTCGGATCCTCAGTTTTTCTCGGCGCTTCAGTGATGCCCGAACGCTCTGCGACTGTGTTTCAGGTTATCAGCGTATCGTCCTAGACCGTAGCTGAGTTCGAAGGAAGGCTTCGGTGAAAAAGTGCGCCGCTGGAAGCTGCATCATGTTGATCACGGCATACGGCTTCAAGTACCGGAAACATTCGTTTCAAGAAGGGAGCATTAGCTGCTGTGTCCACAATGTCACATGCTTTTGTGAGGAATGTCCTGCGACCGAAATCACTCGTTCATGCACAAAGTGGAACTATGCGCTGGCCTCTCTATTTTGCATTGTCCTGAAAATCCTGGACACGTTTCGTATTGTTCTTGGATCAGGTCTGCTTAGACTTCAACCAGCTTCCCTGGGCTGTGAATGAGGCTTTTGTTGCTTGTTGCGAGTTCTGTGGAAAAGTCCAGGATGGACCTGGCGTTGGCAGGCATTCAGAATTGCAAAATCTGGTCGTCCTGGCCCTTGCCACATTGATTTGCCCAAGGACTCTAGGGGCGTTTGACTAAATAGGTACTCATGTGCAATCGAAATCGTTCTATATCGCCATCCAGGACATTGTCTCTATGTCTGCAAAAGTGCCAGAAGCCATCTTCAAGAAGGCATCTGTGTCATCAGCAGATGCTCCGCCAATGCTGGACATGACGGCTGTCCAGAAGGCCTGAGAAGCAAGCTCAAAGCCGGCTTCTCTATACATATATATATATACATACACACATACATACATCGTGGACACAAGAAAAAGGTTGAGTGATTCCGTCAATAAACACCTCCCACTTGGATGGCAGTGCAAGTCACTTTGGTACAAAAGTCAACTTTGCTCAGGCTGCAGATCTCATTAACAAGTCAAAGCGACCAATTCTTTACGTTGGACAAGGTACGCGCTTCCCATAACGATTCAAGTTGCTTTTGCTCTGTGTCTCTCTCTCTCTCTCTCTTTCTTTGTCTGTTACTCGTCTCGTGAAGATCGTTCATTAGTATTGCCGTTTCCAAAACAGTGAGAGCCGAGGAGCAAGCCACTGTCCTGAGATTGTGAGTCAGATTGCTCACAAAGCCAACATTCCCGTCACCACCACTGCGCTCCCAGCTTGCTTCACCTGTGCGAAACAAGTCAGTTTGATGAACGCTTGCTTCAAAACTAGTGTTGAATCAAACATGTCCCTGTGCCAGTGCCATGGTATGGGTATTTTCGATGAGCAAGACCCGCTTTCCATGCACATGCTCGGAATGCATGGGTGGCAGCCTTACTCTCCACAACCTTTGTGTGGAAGTGCCATAAGCTTTGCTGGCATTTTGCATTTTGGACTGACTCAGGGCTGCATATGCCAACTTTGCCATCCAGAATGCCGACTGTATCATTGCAGTAGGCCAGTTCTGTGTGCTGTCTGTGCTAATTTAATGCATAAGAGCACCGGGTGAGGCAGCCGCTTTGATGATCGAACGACTGGAATTGTTGCGAAATATGCGCCGAAGGCGGACGTTTCGGTTTGGGCACCTCTAACCAGTCTATTTTCTTGCGCATTTTGACAGGCACGGGCTGCGGAGAAGGATGGCTCTGGCGGGATCATACACATCAACATCGACAAGTCTACCTTTGGCAAAGTGCCTCATCGTGGACTGTGGACCCAAATCATTGTATCGTTCTCACCTTCCAGGGGACCAAACCTCCTGAAACATGAGAGGCAAAGAACCGTATCGCCCACCCTTCTGTTTGGTAATCTATCTAGAATCACAACAACGAAGCGATTTCGGATTTGTAAGAGCCAAACAGATGTTCGGGAGTGCTCAAAGAGTCAACCCATAACCCAGCAAAATGGAATAAATGGAAAGGGGACAAGCTAGGCAAGTGCCTTTATGCACAGGTACTGCAACCCACAGTTGCTCTTTGGGCGGACACCGAGCATGCGCTGGAGGCCGCACCGATAATTATGCTTGTAATGCTTCCAACTGTAGGTGAAAGCACTCATGTTGCGACAGGCGCTTGAGCCTCTCGTGTCCACGAATACTCGCGAAGAATGGTTGAAGCAATGCCAGGTGCAACACTAACTTTTTGTTTAGCTCAAAATGCCAAGAGCTAATCCATGCTAATCCCCTTTCCAAGGTTGGGGCCAAACAAAATAAACAGAATTTGTAGACCTGTAAAGCTTTTCGAGTATGTCTAAAGTCTCGCCAACGCTTTTGGTGAGTCACCTGGTAGTACTCCAACTTTAACGGTCCACTGTACCACCAACGACTTGCCACAAATATACATGATAACTCATGTGAAACATGGGGACTGTCACGAATCGATCCGCGCAGGTGTCGCGGTTCGAGACCCCCTTTGCGGCTCAGGGGGGATCCAGCGTTGCCGCGATGGACCTCTCCACACAGGATTTGTTCCTGTGTGGATCGTTGGCGGGGTGGACGGACCCCGACCTGAACATCCTGGCAGAGATGGGGTGGTCGACCACGAAGCTGGCCACGTTGAAAGGATGCGAAGAGAAGATCCTAGACTGCATCCTAGTCTCTGCCAGGAAGAAGAAGGAGACCTTCGGCCAGGACACCTCCGGGCTTAGAGATCTGGTCACGCAGTGTGACAACAGGTCCGCGAACATCCATAGAGCCGATGCTGGACGCGGATCTCAAGATCTACTTGAAGCTCATCTGGAGCATCAGAGGCAAAAGAGGAGGAAGGTCCTGGAGGGGCTCGAAGGTCAGGAGATTGCAGAGCGCATCAAGATGGTGGGCCAGGCGAAGATCTTCAAGTGGCCGACTCGCCTGGGGAAGAAGCTGCATTTGGCAGGCTCGGACTTGGCATTGCGAGAGCAGGCCGAGAGATCCGAGAGGGAACGATGGCTAGGAGAGCTGCGTGTTTTGATGAAGAAGGCCACGCACAGGTCATCGGAAGATTCCCTGATGATGCGGATCGCCAAGGGCAGACGTCCGAACACCTTGAGAAAGCACGTCAAAACGTGGCACAAGGTCGGACAGTGGCTTGAGGCTACGTTTGGAAAACCGTGGCCGTCGACACCTTCGGAGTTTGCGGATTACCTGGAGGCGATCGTGCAAGAGCCTTGCGCTAAGTCGGCTCCAGAGGCTGCTTACAAGACTTTGATGTTCATGGAGTTCGCCGGGGAGGTGAATGAGACCGAGTTCATCCACAAGTCTTCGGCGGTGAGGAATGCCCTGGAGGAGGCGCAGGTAAGGCTGGCATCGGTGGAGTTGAAGCCGGCGAGGCAGGCGTTGATGCTGCCACTGGCTATAGTCATAGCGATGGAGGCCATGGTGATGGACGATGATCGGTTGCCCTTCCCAAGGGCATACGCCTGGTTTCGCCTGGTGAAGCTGTGGGCCGGCCTTCGCTTCGACGACACTAAGGGCACGCCGAACAGGAGCATTGAGCTGAGAGAGAATCACCTGGTCGGCATTATCCACAAGTCGAAGACCTCAGGTCCAGGGAAGAGGATCCTGCTGCTCCCGTTCTACGTGAGCAAGGAGGCATGGGTCAGCCATCCCAAGTGGCTGGAAGTGGGACGGAAGATCTGGAATCATATGAGCATGGAAGCAGGTCTGTTGACCCGGGACTTTATGCTGCCATGGCCGACGCTGAACAAGACAGGGTTCGCTCGCAGGATGGCCGACTATTCGACGGCATCTGCAATGTCACAAGCATTGTTTGGCGAGCTGTGGGTGATGGATCAGGGGCAGAGAGCTTCGCTCTTGTTTGCAGGGGTCGGCGCATTGTGGACCGAACATAGCGAGCGCGCTACCTTGCGGTCATGGGCGTCGGCATCCAGGATACCACCGGACATCAGACGGCAAATGGGCAGATGGCGCCCGGCCGTTGATGAAGGATATGAACGGACAACCCGTGCCAACATCCTACGTGCACAGAGGGTCATTGCATCCTTCCTGAGAGACAACCAGGGCAGGGGGGACCCCATGGATGAGGGCGCGGTCCTGGAGGCTGTGAGCATCAAGATGGGCTTGTTGGGCTATCCGGACGAGGCCATGGAAGTGCAGGCAAGGCTGCTGGAGACCTTTCAGCCGGAGGAGCTGGCATTCGAGCCCAGCTGGCGCCCGAAGTGGACGCCCACCGGCCCAGTGGTTCTGGTCGAGCCGGAGGAGGACGACGATGTGAAGGATATGGTGAATGACACCGGCGACGGTGGCTTCGAGTCCGAGGGCGAGGAAATGCAGATGCAGCCAGCTGAGATCGTGCGGGCGGAACAGATCGCTGGCACGTACGTAGTTTCGATTGTAGGTCGCTCCCGTACGCGAACATTGCACCGCGTGGGAGAATGTCATAGGCAGCCTGGTGTGCATTACTCGCAATTCGAGATCCTGGGAGATGAACCTCCCGATGCAAGTGAGTACCATAGGGCTTGTAAGAACTGCTTCGGCAAAGATGGTGCCCTGGCAGGAGGTTCTCCAGAGGAAGATGAGAGCTCTGGGGAAGTAACATCATCCGATTCAATGGAGTCGGAGGCGGAGCCGTCGGCGTGAGGCCAGAACCAGAGCTCATGCTGAAAAGGGGACAAGGCTGCGCAAGGGTAGGCGTGTGGCGTTGGCAGTTGCGAGAAGGCCATGCACAGGTGAGAAGGTGAGTGAGCGCGACAGGTTCGATGGGCCACAAATTCGGATGCATCGTTCGTTCGTGTTCGAGTGATTTGCAGTTCGATGTGCAAGATTGAGCATGTAGAGAAAAGCCCTGTCAGGCATGTGCGTATGTGACGGGGCTCCAGCCAAAAGGGAGGGCGCACTGCTTGGCGCGTTCCAAGCTCGCGGGGGCGACGGACTCATCCCTCGCGAGGGCACATGGCGGGCGCGGCGCCGGCATTGGACATCGGGCATGATACGCCTGCCAGGAGAGCCAATGCGATCTCGCTGCTGGACGCCGACCGGCACGGGCTCTTGCAGATCAAGGAGGTGAACGAGACGGTGCAGGCGAAGCTGGCCATAGCGAGGGTGAGAACCATCAGCCGCTTGAGCACAGTAGCAGATGATAGGGCAGGCATGAGGAAGTTCTGCACTGATACGCTGATGCTCGATGAAGCGGCCGATGTCATCGACATTGCCTCTATGGTGGACGCCTGGGAATCGTCGTCGACGAGAATGACGGTGAGGCACAAAGCTGAGGCAGAAGCGGGACTGGCTAGCCAGCCAAGGGCATTGAACAAGGTGGAGATTCAGGACTTGCTGACGAAGTTTCAGTCAGTGCATGGGCTGAAACTAGAGGATCAAAACGCCCCGGCGGCATCGACTTTGGAGCAGATATTTGACCAGGTGGAGCAAGGTGAACTCAAGAACATGAGCCTGGTGCAGTTTGTAAGCCGGGAAGATGCCGAGGCGGATGTACTTGGCGCTACCATTGAGAAGGGCACAGGAGCTTTGAAGGTGAAGAAGGGCTATGGGGAGTGCCCAAAACCAAAGACGCCTGAGGAGTTTCGAAGGCGGATGGCGGTAGTGTCGCACTCGTACCTGCTGGCCCAGTTGAAGTTCCCGCAGAAAGCGATTCTTCGCGACCTTCAGCCGATGCACTTCCTCAAGTATTTGGATCTGATGCTCGGCGAACATGTCCTGGGACTGAAGGCCAAGAATCAGGCAGGGGAAACGGTGGCTTCACCGGATTTCGACCTTATGCTCTCCTACGACTTCCAGATCAGGCGCAACATGGTCAAGCTGGCTAACGAGGGCCGCCTTCTTCACGAGGCACTGAGGGAGGCGATGGCAGACACGACCATAAAGGAGCGCTACTTCCTCACGCCAAATGTTTACTCGCAAGTCGCGATGGGGCAGTCGAGGTCGGACTCTTGGAGGTCGAGGAGCCCACCGGGTGATCGCAGCTGGGCGGCTGAGCGTGGCCGCGACTGGGAGAAGGGCAAAGGCAAATCCAGGAAGGGCGGAGGAAAGAGCAAGGGCAAGAAAGGTGGCAAGCAGCTACATGATCGGACCCCTGACGGTAGACAGATTTGCTGGCGGTGGAACAACCCTAGGGAGCGCTGCCGGTTCAATTGTGGACGACTACATGTATGTCAAGCATGCTTTGGCCCACATCCTGTTCATGCATGCGATGGCAGTGGGAAGCCCAATTGCAAGGACACGTCCGGGGGCGCCCCGGAGGGGGGCAAGTCAGCCTGACAAGGCACAAAGGTGGGCGATGCCCCGAGCCCACCGGAGTCACAAAGCACAACGAGGGGCACACGTAGCAGACCCAAGTTACAGGCACTATATTTGTTCAGTGGAGCACAACGAAAGTCATCGGTCACCTCCGTTCTGCAAGACATGTGCAAGAAGCAGGGCATAGAGTGCATCGTTCACGAGGTTGACATCCAGAACTCCCCAAGCTGGGACCTTTCGAAAGGAAGCGTGCAGCAGGCGCTCCTGCAGCGCATCAAGGCAGGAGAGTTCGATGTGGTCCTGGTCACCCCACCGTGTTCTACATGGTCCAGAGTGCGCGGGGCGAACTGCAGAGGCCCGCCGATGATTCGTTCGAGGGCATACGTGTGGGGTTTTCCTTGGCTTTCAGCACGACACCTCAAAGATGCAGAGCTGGGCAATGTTCTCATCGTCTTTATGCTGGAGGTGCTTGAGGCTTTGGAGACATGCCCACGAACAGCCAGAAAAGAGTTAGTGCAGGTCTTTGTCGAGCATCCAGAGGACCTAGGAGTGGCCTACCGGGAGGAGGATGGCATGCTCATGGATCCGGCCTCCATTTGGCAACTGCAGCGCTTGAGACACTGCACCAGGCCGGCTTCGGTTCTGCAGCTCTTCACCGTGGTGTTCAACCAATGTTGCTGGGGGGCGCCCTATCGGAAGCCCACTCGGATCCTCACTAACATCACCCCACTGAAAGCATGGGGCTCCATCCAATGGCCACAGTTCGATGGGCATGGACACTACGTTGGGCCCACTCTGGCATGCCAATGTCGGCCGTCGGTCACTTTGGCCCGCACGGCACAGGATCCCAACTTTCGCACCTCTACCACCTCTGCATATCCCGAGGCTATGGATCACGCGCTGGCAGCTGCTATTCTTTCACAATGGGCTTCAAC